TAAAATCAACCAAGATATGCCGCCCTCCCCTAACCCCGTGAATCAAGTACACCCCCCTAAAATTTAACTAAAGTTAAAAAATATATAAATTAATTTTTAGAAATTTAAAAGGGTGGACCCAAAATTTGTTTATTCCGCCATTTTGATTGATGTTTTTGTAAAGCAGTGAACCTTAAAAACGCGTATAAGGTTTTTTAAGCTATAATTTTATAAAACGTGTTTAAGCTAAAATTGACTTTTAAGTCTTCTAACTACTAACCTTTTACGTAAAATGAAACTTTTTGTCATTTACTGAATGTGTTAAATTATAAAACTGTGCAACAGTTTTATAATTTAAGACAAATCTTATATGTTTAATTGAAAAAGTAAATATTTTGAAAATTAATTTTGTCTATATATATATATTAGATGTTCAAGAGATCAGAGTCGAAGAGGTCTTGCCAAGTAAGCTAATTATGTATGAGAAGGATACGTTACAAAGATATATATTTCACCAATTTCAGCAATTTGTTAATTATAACTTTTTTTTAATGTTTAGCGGAAATAATGGACAAGCTAAGTGAGGAATTTTGTTGTTGTTTTTTGTTTTTTTTTGTGTGCAAATACATTTATGCTTTTTTAGTTTTTTTAAAGTTATTTAGCAACTGACTTTTGTCAGTTGTGACAGTTAGTCAGTCAACAAGTGACTTTTGTAACTTTTAAATTTATTTTATTTAGAAAAATTAGAAGATTCTGTTGAGAATCTAAGTAAGCAATTTGTTATTGTTGTTGTCATGCTCTTTTTTTTTTTTTATTACATATTTATTTAACATAAAGTTATTCTATATTTGGCAAGTTAGTTTATTTTAATGTTTATAAGTTTTTCATTTTATTTAGAAAAATTAGAACATTCAATGGGTAAACAGAATTTGATTATATTACATTTGTGTATTATAGATAAAGGTATAGCATTTTACTTTCAAAAAAAAAGGTGTATTCTATGGTCTTTTAGCTTTTTTGATACAAATTTTAGCATTTTTTTTTATAGGGCTTATATTTCAACAACTTAGTAAGTTACTATATTGTTCTTGTGGATTGTTTCTTTAGTTTATTTTTTATTTTTTTTTTGTCGCTTTTTTATTTTTTGGTTTGTTTTGTTTTGTGATTGTTATTTTTGCATTTTGTTTTGTTCAAACTTTATTTATAGATTTCCTAAAGTTGACAAATATTCTGCATGTTTAACATGCAGAATATTTGTCAACTTTATTATTTATATTTGTCAAAAACTCATTAACATTAGGAAAGAAACTAACATTGTTTGTTTCTTTCCTAATGTTAATGAGTTTTTTTTTATTCTATTTAGAAAATTTAGAAAATTTAATTGGTAAGCAAAGTAGACTTATGTTTCTTTTTGTTTATTTTTAACACACAATTTTTTGATGTTTGTGTGCGGTTTTATCACTCTAAAATAAACTGTTTAATTGATTAGTTTATGTAAATATATTTTTTACCTCCACTATAGCGTTATCTGCAGTACCATCAGGTAATGTGTTTTGCATTCTTATGCAGTTTTAAGAGTGTTATGTGTGTTAAAACTTAAAGATAGCATATGTTAATTACAGATTACTTTATTTATTTATTTTTTTGTCTCTACATTAGCACCTCAAGCAATAATATCAGGTAATCTGTTTAGCATACTTATGCAGTTTTATGGGTTTTATGTGTATTTAAACTTAATCATTACTGTTTTCATGCAATTACATAAATGTTTAACATATGTTACTTTATACACTTTTTTTTTTTACCTTTACAATAGCATCAATATCATCTGCAGTACCATCAGGTAATGTGTTTTGCATACTTATGCAGTTTTATGAGTGTTATGTGTATTGAAATTAAACATTACTTTTTTCATGTTTGTTATCAATTACATAAATGTTTAACATATGTTACTTTATACACTTTTTTTTTTTTACTTTCACAGTAGCATCAATATCATCTGCAGTACCATCAGGTAATGATGTAATTTAATGAAAAACTTAAAGATTGCATATCTTATTTTGCACATCACTTTATTTCTTTATTTTTTTGTCTATACATTAACACCTCAAGCAATAATATCAGGTAATCTGTTTAGCATACTTATGCAGTTTTATGAGTTTTATGTGTATTGAAACTTAATTTTTTTTTTCATGTTTTCATGCAGTTTTATAAATGTTTAACATATTATACTTTATACACTTTTTTTTTTTTTTTACTTTCACAATAGCATCAATATCATCTGCAGTGCCATCAGGTAATGTGTTTTGCATACTTATGCAGTTTTATGGGTTTTATGTGTATTGAAATTAAACATTACTTTTTTCATGTTTGTTATCAATTACATAAATGTTTAACATATGTTTATTTATACACTTTCTTTTTTTTTACTTTCACAGTAGCATCAATATCATCTGCAGTACCATCAGGTAATGATGTAATTTAATGAAAAACTTAAAGATTGCATATCTTATTTTGCACATCACTTTATTTCTTTATTTTTTTGTCTATACATTAACACCTCAAGCAATAATATCAGGTAATCTGTTTAGCATACTTATGCAGTTTTATGAGTTTTATGTGTATTGAAACTTAAATTTTTTTAAATGTGTTTTGCATGCTTATGCAGTTTTATGAGTGTTATGTGTATTGGAACTTAAACATTACTGTTTTCGTGTTTGTATGCAATTACATAACTGTTTAATATATGTGTTTGTTTATATACTTTTTTATTTATTTCTGCAATAGCAACAGTATCAACTGCAGTACCACCAGGTAATGTGTTTTCCATACTTATGCAGTTTTTCCGTATTTATGCAGTGTTATGTGTATTGAAACCTAAACATTACTTTTTTCATGTTTGTATGCAATTACATAACTGTTTAATATATGTGTTTGTTTATATACTTTTTTATTTATTTCTGCAATAGCAACAGTATCAACTGCAGTACCACCAGGTAATGTGTTTTCCATACTTATGCAGTTTTTCCGTATTTAAGTATTGTTATGTGTATTGAAACCTAAACATTACTTTTTTCATGTTTGTATGCAATTACATAACTGTTTAATATATGTGTTAGTTCATATACTTTTTTATTTATTTCCATAATAGCAACAATATCTGCAGGACCATCAGGTAATCTGTTTTGCATACTTATGCAGTTTTGTGGGTGTTATGTGTATTTGTGTAGGTATATATGAAATTTAAACATTGCATATCTATATTTTTACATTACTTTATTTATTTATTTTTTTTGTCATAACTTTTTTTTTTTTAAGTCTAAATAGTTTTAGATAATATTTTTATTGGTTGTTTTGTGCAGTATTGTATTCAAATTTATTTCTTTTTTTGTTTTTGTTTTTTAGCATCATATCAAGATTTTCTGCAATATCGCTCCCAGCACCCAGGTCCAATATCTTCAAGAGCTTTTTACCGGTGGAGTCAATATGGGGGAGATGATCCCTCCTTTAGATGGAGGAGAGAAGCCCCATATGACACCACTGGTAGAAGGAGGGGTGCTGGAAAGCGATTTAACTCTTTTAATTTCTACCAGTAGCTTTTTTAAACTACTGGTAGAATTATCTTCTTTTTTATTTATAAAGAAAATTGAATTTTTAAAAAAATATTTTTTTAATTTCGCAATTTTTTATTATTTTAATTTATATACTTTTACTATTTTATTTTTTTGATTTTTAATTCTGTTTTTAAATCCTAAACTAACAAAGAACTCTTATGTTATAAAAGTTTTTAATAATTTGTCTATAAGTTTTTTTATTAATTTACGTTTTTACATCTTTTTATCCTCATTTTTAATTTTAATAATACTAAATTTTCTTTTGTATTAACTTTTATTTGTTAAGTGTTATATAGTTTTTGAAAGATTAGGTAAATATATTTAAAGTTTTTCTTTTTCTATGATATCTGTTTAATATGTCTAATATATGCACTATACACATATTAATCTCTTTACATTATTCTCTTTAGATATATTATAAAATAGTATTTAAAATCAGTTGTCAGCCACATGTGGTCTATATGATGCAACATGTTTGCAATTGTTGGCATGTCATTTAAAAATATGTAACTAATTTTGCTTTTCAATATTACCATTAATATGACTTTTAAAATAATAAAATTTTTTATTTGTTTCAAAAAATACTGTTTTATTACTTACAATATAGTATGTTATTACAAGATACTTCTGGCTTTTTCTCTGTTTCAAACCAGTTTAGTTATATCTTTTGTTCACAAATTTTATTAGATGCTATACACATAGTTTCATTGGTTTAAACTGATAAATAGCACTTTATTGTTTTTGTTCATTTTAGATTAGTATAGCAAAAAATTATTAAGATAAAGTTTTATCAAACATAAATAATTTCTCAATTATGTCAAGTAACCTAAGAGCTGAAAATAGAAGAAATCGTCGAAATGAAAGAAATGAGGCCAGACGAGAAGAAATTAATCGTTGCCAAAATGAGAGAAATGAGGCCAGACGAGAAGCAATTAATCGTCGCCAAAATGAAAGAAATGAGGCTAGGCGAGAAGAAATTAATCGTCGCCAAAATGAAAGGAATGAGGCTAGACGTGAAGAAGTTAATCGTCGCCAAAATGAAAGGAATGAGGCTAGACGTGAAGAAGTTAATCGTCGCCAAAATGAAAGAAATGAGGCTCGACGAGTATTATTTAGGCGTAAAATGCATTGCATAGCAAGAAATAATGTTTTTATAGAGAGTAATTACCTAGGAGAAATGAACCATAATTGTCAGTATTGTGGTGCTAAAAAATTTTTAAATGAAACACATTTTTTGTGCTGCCATTCGGGAAAGGTTGTCTTACCTCCACTTTCACCTTATCCACCGCTGATGGTTGATTTAATGACAGGCAACCATGTTGATCATGCTTTGAATCAAAATTTTTTCAAGCATATACGAAATTATAATGCCCTGGTCCAACCTGTTTTAGAATTAGTGGGCAAATTATGCATCGTATTGGTAATCTAAGACATCAGCAAGGGGATCCACCTGCTTATTGTCAATTATATGTTTATGATCCTAATACTGCTTTAAACTTTCGAATGGAGCAAAATGATTGTTGCATACGTGAGTTAATGGAACTTTTGCAGACTATAATTAATCAGGAGAACCCATATGCGCTTGCATTTAAAAACATGGCAGAAGTTGAAGATGCAGAAATTCGTCAAGCTGCTATAGAAGGTCGACCGATTTCTGTTGTCAAAATGTCGTTGCTTGAGGGTTGTGATAGACGTCGATACAATCTTCCATCACATGAAGAGGTTGCCATTGTGTTTGTAGGAAATGATGGTGCTCCACCTCCATCTAGAGAAGTTGTTATTTATCCTCGAGGTCAACCCTTAAAAACAATTTCAAGTATGTCTGCAAATCTAGATCCAATGATATATCCAATATTTTTTCCAAGAGGTGATGCAGGATGGCATGATCAACTAGAGCACAATCCTGACCGAGCAACACGTGTTCGAAATCGTGTTACTTTATCTCAGTACTACAACTATAGGCTTTCTATTAGACAAACGTTCAGTCCTATATTTTATGGTAAGAAACTTTTTCAACAGTATGCTGTTGATACATATGTCAAGATTGAAGGACAGCGCCTTGCTTTTATCAGAAATAACCAAAACAAACTTAGAAGTGAACAATACGATACATTACATGAGTATGTAAATAATGTTGCAAATAACCTTAATGTAAGACCGGGTCGTGTTGTTATACTACCATCCTCATATGTTGGAAGTCCAAGAGCTTTAAAAGAAAATTTTGAAGATGCAATGGCAATTATAAGGAAATATGGTAAAACAGATCTTTTTATTACTTTTACCTGTAATTCAAAATGGAGAGAAATTACAGAAAATTTAAATCCAGGTGAGAGCGCAACTGACAGGCCTGATTTAGTTTGTCGCGTATTTAAGATGAAACTTAAATGCTTCTTAGGTGATATTTTTAAACATGGAGTCTTAGGCAAAGTTGTAAGTCATGTACAGGTTATTGAGTTTCAAAAACGTGGTTTGCCACATGTGCATATTTTATTACACTTTGTAAACGATGATAAGCTAGAAACAGCAGAGGATATTGATAGTTTAATATCAGCTGAAATTCCAGATCAAACTGTTGATCCTGAACTTTTTGAAATTGTAAAAACATGTATGATTCATGGACCATGTGGGATTTTAAATCCCAATTCTCCTTGCATGAAAGATGGAGTTTGCACAAAAAAATTTCCTAAAGAGTTTAATCCTTGCACTGTTGCAATTTTCAATGGTTATCCTAACTACAGGCGTTTAGATAATGGTAGAGTAGTCATTATAAAAGGTAACCAAGTTGATAATCGATGGGTCGTACCCTATAACCCCTGGTTATCAAAAAAATACCAAGCCCACATTAATGTTGAAGCTTGCATGTCTATTAAGTCAGTGAAGTATTTATACAAATATGTCTATAAGGGGCATGATTGTGCGAATGTGGTAATTAATGAAAGTGTTGACCATGATGAAATTAACACATATTTAGACTGTCGCTTTGTTTCCGGCCCAGAGGCTCTTTGGCGAATATATGAGTATTCCATAAGTGATATGTCACATACTATTATCCGCCTTCAAATCCACCTTCCTGATAATCAGAGAGTATATTTTAACGAAGGAGAAGAACAAGTAGCTATAGATCGTGCAGCACAGCGTGACACTCACCTAACCGCTTGGTTTAAGTTAAATGCTGAAAATAATGAAGCACGTCAGTATTCTTATGTTGAAATTCCATATCACTTTGTTTTTGGTAAAAATTGCATGTGGAAAGTAAGACAAAGAGGTAGTGATAAGGTGGTTGTTCGAATGTATAAAGTCAGTTCATTTTGCGAATTATTTTTTCTCAGGTTGTTACTTTTGCATGTAAAAGGTGCAAAGTCTTTCGAGGATTTGCGTACTGTTCATGGTACTGTTTTTAATACATTTCGTGAAGCATGTTATCATTTAGGTTTATTGCAAGATGACATTGAGTGGAGAAATACATTAATTGAAGCTGCTGCAACTCGGATGCCTAAATAAATTAGGCTACTGTTTTGCATCATATTAACTTTATGTGAACCTGATGATCCTTTACACCTTTGGAATACATGTAAAAATTATATGGTTGAGGATTACATACACCATTCAATGCCAGTCGTACTTGCTGAGCAGGCAGCTCTTCGTCAAATTGAATCTATAATTAATCAGAGTGGTAAAACCTTAGCTGATTATAATTTGCCAGCTTTAGATCAGTTTTTAGATAATGTCCCAGAAAATGATGATGAAGATGTTCAGGTGTTTATTGATGAAGCAAACCGAGTTAGACCATTATTGAATGATAATCAACGTAATGTAGCTGATGCGATCCTTGCTGCACTAAGTGTGGAACCTACTAATGAAAATAAGCATTCAAGGTTGTTTTTTATGGATGGGCCTGCCGGTTGTGGTAAAACATTTACTTACAACTATTTAATTTCTGAAACACAGAGCAGGCATATTAGAACTGCAACAGCTGCATGGACAGGAATAGCTGCAACTCTTCTCAAAAATGGGTGCACAATGCATGGCTTATTCAAACTTCCTGTTCCAATTTTGGAAACTAGCACATGTAATGTAACTCCAAACTTTATTCATGGTAGATTCCTGAGACAAATCAGTTTGTATTTACTTGATGAAGCATCTATGATACCCAAATATGCTTTGAGTGCCATTGATAAGCTATTACAAGATATTTGTAATAACAACTTTCCTTTTGGTGGTAAGGTTATTCTTATGGGTGGAGACTTCAGACAAATACTTCCAGTTGTGAAGCGAGGTCGACCAGCAGAAGTTATAGAATCATGTTTAAAATGTTCTGAGCATTGGCAATATGTACAAAGGTTCTCATTAACTGTAAACATGAGGGTTCAGATAGAAGAAGAGGAATTTTCTCAATGGCTTTTAAAGCTTGGAAGTGGAACATTACCTGTCAAGCCTGAAGATCCTTTGCGAGGGTGTATTGAAATACCTGAGCAGTGCTTTCTCAGTGATAATGAATCTATTGTGGAGAAGATTTTCGGTGGTGCAGAAGAAGCTGATTATGCAAAACGTGCTATTTTAACGCCAACAAATGTTGATTCATTGGCAATAAATGAAGAAGTCCTTCATCGCTTACCCGGTGATGTGAAAACATATTTAAGTTCAGATAGCATTGATACTGATGATCTTAATGAAATTAATAACTTTCCAGTCGAGTTTTTAAATAGTTTGACTCCATCAGGTATGCCTGTTCATTGCCTAAAAGTAAAAATTGGTGCTGTTATAATGCTACTTAGAAATTTAGATCTCAAAGGTGGACTTTGTAATGGAACCCGTTTGATGGTGCGTGCATTACACAACAATTATATTGATGGTGAGGTTTTAACAGGTGTATCAGCTGGTAACAGGGTATTTGTTCCTCGAGTTCAATTAGCTCCATCAGATGCAAATTTACCTTTTACACTTAAACGCCGTCAGTTTCCAGTTAGGTTAGCATACTCAATGACCATAAATAAAAGTCAAGGTCAAACATTTGAAAAAGTTGGTGTTTATCTCAAAAAACCTTGCTTTTCACACGGCCAATTATATGTTGCATGTTCAAGAACAAGATCATTTAATAGTTTGTTTTTCAAAGTTGATAAACATCCATTACAAGGTACGTCATTTAACAAACATTACACAAATAATGTTGTCTTTACAAATGTTCTTAATTTATAATTTTGACAAGTATATTATGTGTTATATGTGTTTTATATTTTTTGTATGTATTTTTTTTTTTTTTTTTGCTATATGTGTATATAAATGAATGTGTTTATATGCGTTTATATATCTTTATTTATATTTATGTGCTTAAGTTTATACAAGTTTATATTAAGTTGTTTCCATGTGAAAAGTGGTGTTACTTGGCAACGTGTAGTGCAAGATTGTGATTCTTGCTAGCCAAGCGGTGTTACTAATTAGTGGTGTTACTTGGCACTTAATGCCAAGCGGTGTTACTAAATTGTGGTGTTACTTGGCAGCGTTTAGTGCCAAGCGGTGTTACAAGTGTTGAGCTAGGTTGTGTTGTCTTGCTTTTTTAATTATTCTGGAAACACATAATCTGAATATTTTGTGTTATGTGCAAATGTGTTATGTACAAATATTTGATGCTATGTGTATTCAGTAGCATAGGCAGGGTCTTTTGATGCTTCAGATAGCATTTTCAACCAAACTTAAGTGTATTCACGTTTATAGAATTAAAATACTTTGCAAAAAATTGATGTTTTTAAAGCTTAGGAACAAATGTTTAAAAAAAGTGTTTTTCCTAACCTGAATTTTTTTAGACATAACAAAGTTAAACTCTTCAACAGCTTCTAAATATATATCTGAAACAACAAAAATCCTGCCTACACTACTGGTGTTATTGTTTGTCATCCTGTAATGTTGTTGTGATGTTTTGTGTTGATAGACAGCTTGGCTTACCTTCACGTTGGTGTCTATCGTTAAAAATGATTATTGGGTAGCTTCATTACTGAAACTTACTCCTAATCATTCACTAAAAGCCAAGAAATATTTTAAGAAAAAATGCCTAATTTTTTTGTGTCAGTAAGAATTTTTATCTTTTGCAATGCTGATAAAACTGAATTTTTTTAAAAAAAGAGTTATTCCAGCCTTCCAACCAAATATTAGAGACTTTTAAAAAAGCACTCTCACAAAGTAAGTGTCTAATCTTCTATATAATATTGCCGAACTAATTTTTACTAAATTTTGTTTCGTATTTTTCATTTCTCAAATGAATTAACATAAAACAAATAAATGTGCATTCAGTGTTATCAATAATGATTTTATTTCATTTTTAGATAATGCTTTTATAATCAATTTAAAAGTCTTTCAAATCGTTAACCATTTTCTAAAGGCGAAGAAGAAGAATCATCAATCTTCATACCATTTAATAAAGCTATTTTAATAAAACGCTATACAAATTGTTGTAAATTAGTATTTGAATAATTTTCACGTTGTTACCTTATTTTGCAGTTTCCTATCACTTTGTATTGAATTAACTAAATCCAATATTACAGTTCCTTTTATCAAATACTTCACATTTTCTGTTTTTGTTTTATGCAGAAAAACAGATCAAATTAATTTATTTGACTTGCCTAGCTACTTATTTTTCAGGCCTAGCCACAGTGAGTGTGCATAAATCAACAGAGGATTTGGGTTTGGGCAGGTTGTCTTGAACTAAATGATTAACCTTCTTCATGTTAAGCTCTAAATATAAATATACGGAAAAGGTGCATATGTGAATTTTTTTTTTCTAGCACATAATCTATTGTTCACTAAATAATATTTGAGGGAGAAATAGAGATAAGGTTAATGTGGAATAGAGTTTGTCTTTTTAAGTGAAAAACTATTTTATAATCTATCTATCTTCTATATAATAATGCCGAACTTAATAGTAGTGTTAGTAGAAAGAGTCGCAGCACTTTTTTCAGAAGAAAACGTGTATGCAAATATCTAACGTACGTAATTAAGTAATGATAAAACATACTGAAACATTTTTCAAGTTTTATAGTTTGACTTTGACTTAAAAATTGCATTGCGTCAACCTCTCCTTAATTTTTGATCTACATCAATTCCGTTAAAAACAATTTTTATATATTTTTAAAATTTCGATATTTGATGTGTCAGCATGGCCGAGTGGTTAGCGCTAAGCTTCTGAACGTAATAGTCGTGGTTCAAATTTACCACCAGCAATTTTTTTCTTTAAATTACAAAATATTTGTAAAGTTAAATAAGTTAAATGTTATACACTTTAACCGTTTTTTCTTTTTATATTTTATATATTTTTTGGATTTCTAAAAACACCAATAAACGGGGCGAAAATTTGTTGCGTGTGTGTCACGATTTTGATACTGTTCTCACATAATTGGTCCTAATAAGCTACGGATAGTCTTAAAAAAAAAGGTCCTAAAACCTAATAAAGAAAAAATTTGATAAAACCGTCCTGCTACTCCACCTGGTATTGCAGTGGAGGCAGGGAAAAAAAAAACAATTAAAAGGTTTTTTGTTATATTTAATTTTTTGCTATAAATATAGCCAGATTTAAAAAAATGTATTGAGATTTTTTAGGCGCGGATTTGAAGCCTTGCACAGCGAATCTGATGACAGCGCACTTAACTTGTGAGCTATCAAAGTTATGCATGTAGTTAGGCGCTTCAACATTTTTTTAAAAATGTAAAATGAAAACAAAATAAATACCATAAGTAAGAGCTAAATAATAACGTTTAAAAATTACCAAACTTTTTGTTATATTATTATTAGTTTTTCAACTTTTAAACCACAAAATTTATAATTTATTTTTTTGCATGACTTTTGACGCTTTAAGCGACTAACGTTTCAAAGAATTGCATTACCGTTTCCGTCTAATACAAAGGTAACTATAAAAGACCGTTATTATTCAAAACTAAGCATATAATAATATTAATAAATATAGTAAATAGTAACTATTGAAAATGGCTAGGACGCGACCATAAACCATGGTCCATGGCTGGTTTAAATATAGGAAGTAGTTTAGTTCAGATTTTTTTTAAAAAAAAATAAATAAACGGGGTTTAATAAGCTATATACGTATGCGGAAAAAGTGCGTATGTTAAAGTTTTTTTTTGCTCTCAAAGCAAATTTTTTTGATGAATTTTTTTCCACCGTTTACTAAAAAATATTGAAGTAAATAAGGAACAAGTAAAGAAATGATTGGCGTGGAATAAATAAATATAGAAGTAGAAGAAAAGACCTGTATTTACCGATACGGACAGCTAGATTAAGAAAATAAGGGAAAAGGTTTGTGTGGAATAGAATTACAAAGACCCGTATTTTTACGGGTCAATGCAGCTAGTTTTTATAATATTACCTTAATTATCTCATGATGATAAAGTTATTTTTCATGTTTAGCTGCAAATATTAAGTATTACAAACATTTTAAATTTAGTTGTTATTTTATTTCTTTAGTTTTACTTTGGTGCTTTACCTACTATCATAAAATTACTTTGTCTACTGTTAAAATATGGTTTAAACTTAGTAAACTTTAATTATTTAAAATTTACTATGTTGATCATTAGCTAATAGTTTTAAAATAAACCTGTTTGTTGCAATTAAGTTAAAAATAGTTTTATTTTTTATTCAAATTACATATTTTGTTTGCACTGATAGCTGTTAAGTTTTTGTTATTTTGTGTTATAGCTAATTATTTTGGCATTTTCTTTTCTTTCAGATTTTGACTATTAACAATGCTTTAGAAAAAACATCAGCAACAGATAAATTGGTTTGTAGTGTTAATAAGTAATGTTTTTACTTTTATCATATCATAGTTTTTTTTTTTAATCATAGATATATCTAACAATGCTTTTTCAGCATATTTCAGAACAAATAGAGAGACCCTAACCCACATCTCCTAAGGTGGGGGCCCAAGTTTAGGGCAAAAGCTCAACCCTCCTTTTGTGTGTGGATCCTTCTGAAAGTAAAATATGAGGAGATGGAGAGCGGTGGGAAAATAATACGCTACATCTTAGTAATTTTTATAGTTGGTTAATCTACCAATTGTTAATTGATGATGCAGATGCAGTTAAATTTTTTTCTGCAAATATAACTTTTCTTTACATTTTTGTTTTGTTATTTTGTATAAATATATAGTAATTGTAAATGATAAAACGTTTTTATATTTAATGATGTTTATAAATGTTTTTTTTTTTTTTTTCTATAAATAAAAATTTGTAATGTTTTGTATATAAATTTTGTTGAAAAGGTTTCTGCTTTTTTTTATTGTTAAAATGTCATATATTTTGTTTCCTTCTCTAATGTTTTACTAATGGTTAATAAATAAAGGCAAAACGGAGATACGTCGACTGAGGGTTTAGGTTTGGGCAGGCATTCTTTAAATTAAAGAAAAGAGTTTTAATATTTATTTAAATAGGGTCAATAAAATATTTTAAACTATATTTAAAAAATTATAAAACTAAATTGCATAAGATTTTTAGATGAAACAGTCAAAATAAATGTTTAAATACATGCGTGCAAATAATTCCTATCCTAAACTATTTAACTAAACTAAATAATTCCCAATGCTAAACGTAAAAAAAATGCTTACAAACGCCAAAAGTATGTTTGCCGTTAATAAAATTAAGTTCAAAGATAAATGGTCTCAACAGTAAGATGTATTTTTAATTATTTTTATTATAAGTTGGGATGAAAAAAAGGTTTTTTTGTCGCTATTAAATATAAGTGCATTTTGAGCTAAAAAAAATATCATTCACATCAACTTGATCAATATAAATATGTGTTGCAACAGTCACTGATGCCATATTATTAACTTAAAAAATTAAGTTTTTAAATAAACTAACATCATCAGGCATGTAAAATAACAACTTAACTTTGTACAATAGCCAATCGAAAATTCGTCCATATAAATAAATACATTGTTTCAATACATTGCCTTGGACGATTTTCTGAATTATTTAGCATTCTGAGTAATATTCAGAATGTTATAACTAACTTTAAAAACTATCACCTGGTAAATTTAGTAACATGTTCTTAATAAGTTTGAATTACTTTTCTTTGAAAATAATTTCGGATAACAATTTAAAAACTGCATATAAATAAACATAAGATAGTCTTGCTTGAGTTTAGATAAACATGAGATAACTTTGAATGTTTCTTAAATTTTTTTTTTTTTTTTGATATTTGAA